CACTCACAGGGTTAGCGGCTGTTGTTTAACATCATGAGGTGAGAAACAATCACCCGATCCTTATTTGTCACTTGAGAGCTCTGTGGAGGAGCCTGCTCTAAACCTGAGTCAGTACCTGACCTGGCCTTGTTGTTCTCTATTGTTTCTGCTCTTTGTTCTGCTCTCCACTCATCAGTATTGATTTCGTATGATCCATAACAGTATCTGTATAAGTCCCAGACAATATACTTTAAGTGGTGGGTGCCTTGAAATGTTGTGTAGTGTTTTGAAATTAGCTGACGGAGTCTATCCTACTTGATTCCCACACTTTGTTTTGGTATGTGCTTTGTGCAATATGTGTCACATGAAAGATATGAGGAAAAAGTAATTGGTTGACTGGTTGAAATGGGAAGCTTAACCATCAGCTTTATATGTGCGATGAGCCACAGACTGGATCATCTGCTTACCTTTGGGTGTGACACAATGTAAGACATATTTGTGTTTTCAACAAGAGAATGTGAATGTCACCAAATGGGTGGTGTAGAGGGTGTGTTTTGTCACCATACTCGCTCAGCTACATGTCACAGATCCTTAATTCGGGCCTTGGCTTCTTGGAGCTGGGTGTACTCAGTATTTCAGCTGTTCTGTGCGTGCCTGTGTGTTCAAGAGTTACTGGGTGAAACACTGAGACGATCCGGAGTTGTTATTATTCTCATTTGTTATTGTTTCATAGCTTTGCTGTTACTTTAAAAACAGATTTTCAAGCTGTCAGTGAGTGCAATGATATACATGCAAAATGCTTATAATGGGTGTGTGTTTGCATGTGTGGGTAGCATGGAATACAAATCAAAACAAAGAGGCTTTCACTGTGTGCCGCCTCTTGATGCAACGTAATGACCTGAATTGTTTCTTTGCCTCTGCTTTTTTGGAGCCTCCCAGGCTTGTTTGGGTCAGTGGGAGTTTTCATGAGTTTATTCCACTTTGAGAAAGAAGTTTCCACAGGGAACACGCAGCTGGATGTATCTTCACTCTATATGGGCACACAAGCCTCTCTGTGTTTGTGTTAATGTCTTTGATTGCAGCTTAATCTGGCTGCTTGGGAAATGGGAGGAAACTTTACTTTGCAAAGTCCTGGCTGGAAATGTGGGAATGAAGGCCTGGGCCAAAGCATCTCCCCTGGGTGTGGTTGTGTGTGGGACTCTGCCTCTTTGGTGCATGTGCATGAGCAGCATTGAGACACCCCGCCCAGGCAAGATGTCAAGCTCTTCAAGACCACACTGGGAATGGCAGAAAATCATCAGTCTTAAATGTTCCTACAGTTGTTAAACACTCACAGACCACTTTTTCCCCTCCTCCTGTGGATCTCTTTATTTTCCACTGCAGGCACTTCCCATTTCATTCCTCCTTTCTTACCCCTTGTCCTAAGCTCATTACAGCTACAATCTATGTTGTCTATTCTACATTCTGACCTATCGCATCACTCCTACTTTCTTGCTACATAAAATGATACAGATCTATTTAGTTATCATGCTAAAAATGTTATATAAAGTTGTGGCATGGTTATTTAGCAACTAGCATAGATCCATAACAACCCACTTTGTTTTTCCAGCTTTGCATAGAGAGGCTCAATAGAGATGGAAAGGACTGACTACAAGTGATACATGTGCTAATGAGCTGATGAAGTTCTAGGATGTAAACAAAGGAATCTACTTGAGTGGATTTAAGTGAAGGTCCAACATGTAAAAGGTTTGGATTTCCTAGTTATTCAATTTTAACTTGGTGTATGATGTGCGATGTTGTGTTGAGATATAACGATCACACAGACATTATTGTTAAAGAAGAACCTGTTTGTGGTTAAAAGAGAGAGAAAAAGCCAGAGAAGCCACGTGACAGGAGAGGCTCACAAACCTGAAATCAATGTGGAATATCAGGAAGGGAGGCTGGAGGAAACAAACACAAAGTTAATTGCACCATTTCATCACCTAACTCCTGCAACACATCACCATCAAAGAGTGACAGCAGAGTCGGAAGGTCTCTTTTGGGGATTTTCTGTCAGCGGAGAATGGCTGTTGGTTGAGCTTATTTTGTGATCTGTCTGAACTGCATGCTCAATGATTGTATAGTTTCAGAATCCATAGTTTCAGAATCCAGTTTGACAAGGCAGTTGGCTAACATGGGACTTCTCAGCCACAATCAGGTAGTCTCAGTCTGTCTGTGTCTGACCCACGTGTACAGACATTTTGGAGACAAGCGAACCTGGCAAAACATTGTTGGGTTGGTGAACTAATGCCAGATGATGGAAAATTAACAGGATAAATAATAGAGGTGGGAATCACCATAAATCCCACGATACGATATTATCACAATACTTAAC